ATTTTTATTGACAAAAGTATTGCAATTACACATCATACTAAACAAGCAAACAATAAAGCATTCTAATTCAACAAAAACCCAGAAATAGCATAAAAGTGCTGAAAGAAAGGATATAGACTAACTTGAGAACATCGGGGATAACCATCCTCTTCTTCCTGTTGTAAGGAGGGGGAACCCCTTCGTAAACCTTCAACCTTGCAAGTGCAGCAGGACCACAATTATTGATGATGGCATGCATGTCAGAAAGATTCAACATGCTATATGGTCCACTTTAGATACCCTGCTTACCATACAAACAAAAGTTACCAAGATTTATAAGAATGAAGTTTGAAACTTGTGCAGATTTTCAATGTTGCAAGATATCATCCCTCATGGCGATCAAAAGAAAGATAAGGCATCATTCCTGTTAGAGGTATAGCTACAAGCAGGAATTGGAAGTGGCCTTGGTTATTGAATTGATGGATATAAATACGATCCTAAGTCGATAGATCACAAATTTCGAAAAGCTAAACCAGGGCTGAAAAAGAATAAAGAGAAAAGGGATATGCGAGAGTAAAGTACAAGAATCATTTTTGAGCTAAAACCCAAAATTAGGGATGGTGATTTGCCCCGACCCGGTGGGGAACCCGGTTCACCTGACCCGAACGGGGACGGGGATTCCCCGCTAAAACAGGTCCCGGGGCCGGGGATCCCCGGTAGACTCAAACTGGGGATCCCCGGTAGACTCAAACCGGGGACGGGGAATGTTACTCAAAACACGACCGGGGTCGGGGCCGGGAATCCCCGGTATAATCAAACTAAAGCATACTTTTTACCGGGTTTTGACCGGGAATTGACCGGAGTTTACCGGGTTTTGACCGGGAATTGACCGGAGTTTACCGGGTTTTGACCGGGGATTGCTAGAATTTGACCGGGGACGAGATGATAATCCCCGTACCCGCCGGGGACCGGGGCCGGGGCCGGGGGACGATATTACAAACCGGGGCCGGGGCCGGGGATTACAAAACCCGCCCCATCCCCGCCCCGTTGCCATGCCTACCCAAAATGGTTAAATATGCAGGTGTTTTTAGGTAGTGACAGGCCACTGTCAGATAACGGAAAAAAACTGATATAGAAGATTCTCAAATTTAACAATCCCCATACCAATGATGCTTGATACTAAGGTATTAGAAAGAAAAAACATATAAGAAACTTCAACAGTGTAAAGATATTGTAGATCTATATAAACATCAAGATATTTCCACCAGCATGATGGCATGTACCTGATACAGAAATTAAAGACCACAGGAGCTTACCTCAACTCCTCCATTTTCTTGAAGAGCTTGAGAAACCAAAGCAACTCCTTTATTTGTTGCTTGAGATCTAGCCAAAAATAGCCTCTGCTTCTCCTAAACTAACATAAATAACAAGGTTAAAATAGCTCTATATTTAAGCTTCTTAATTCCATATGCCAACTTACCCTGAACTTCCAACATCATGGAACTCTTCTTTCCATCAGCAATGTTAACACTTGGTTGTCTTTCTTCTGAAAAATAGAAAATTACATATGTTAAATATATGAGTATAGCAGAAGTTCGTAATCACATATTTCGTGCATGGAAATGGAAAACTATCTATTACAGGTCCATTCACCCATGAAATGGATTAACACATAAAACTTTAGGCTCTCAGTACGAGTGACAAGGCATGCAAATATAGGTTGTTAAAGAGTAAATTAACAATTCTAAGATTTCCCATGGCTTGATTATGTTCCAAAATGTCTCAATGAATTTACAGAAAATGAATATTAGAATATATGGTATAAACTTCCAGAATGACAAGCATGCATGTTTTAGCACATGTTCGCCACTCCAGTTTGAAACAAATACACTGATTATGATGATATGCTGCACCTTGTAAAATTTAAGGTATATAAAGATCACCTTATATGGGTTTTATTACCTTCCGACTCTAGAATTTGGGCTCTCTTTTTCTGCTCAGCTTCTGCCTGCATCCCCATACCTTCTTTTACACCACAGGGAGGAGATATATCCCCTATATACAAAAGAGCTCAGATGTAAGGCAGAGTATTCATAACAAAGTTTTTTTCTGGAAAGTATCAAGTTAAAATTATGCTTGACTGAAATACTATAGTTTACTTGTTTCACAACGAAGACATTGCAAGCCCCAATCTTTTGCAGCTTCATTGATAGCTATCTGGAGAAA